AGAGCGCATATTTATGTATGCAACTTTTTTGTCGTTCCTCATCAATCAATCCCTGTTTCCGCTTTTATTTTTTTGGTGGTCTACTTTTTTTCATCCTTTTTTTTCTTTCCCTTATTCATTCATTCATTCATTCATTCATTCATTCATTCATTCATTCATTCATTCATTCATTCATTCATTCGTTCATTCGTTCGTTCGTTTGTTCATTCATTCGTTCGTTTGTTCGTTCGTTCGTTCGTTCATTCATTCGTTCGTTCATTCGTTCGTTCGTTCGTTCGTTCGTTCATTCATTCTTTCATTCGTTCGTTCGTTCATTCATGCATTCGTTTAATAACTTCGTTCATTCTATTATTGCTTCATTCATTTATAGGACAGTTCATTCATACAAACAGACATTCATTCGTTTGTTCGTTCATTCAAACATTCAAACATTCATTCATTCATACATCCATCCATCCATCCATCCATCCATCCATCCATCCATCCATCCATCCATCCATCCATCCATTCATTCATTCATTCATTCATTCATTCATTCATTCATTCATTCACTCATTCATTCATTCATTCGTATATTCATCTTCAACTAACTACCTTTATTCCTTCATACAGCCAAGAAGCGAACGACAACACAGCAACAGTAACCATCATAAATCATCATACTGACAATAATATAACAGCGATTATACATTATCCATTCGTTTATGGAAGCCAAACATAAGTTGAAATAAAGTCGTGAATAGGTCTTTAATTAGGACTTAACTTAAAGCTTACTTAACTTAAACTTAACTAAACTTAACTAAAACTTAAAAAAACTCCTAACTTAAATAGAATTAACTAACAACTTTTTGACGCGTGTATCAAACTTTCTGAAAATTGAAAGTTAAATAATTTTTGTTCTGCTGACTCAAAATTTAACAATCATTGGCACTTAATTGTTCCAAGGAATGAAAGCATTTAAGGAGTGAAATGATTTCTTACGTGGGTTCATCTAACCGACAGAACATCTAACAACATTCTCATCTCACGCAAAACATGCAATATCTTAATTTATTCATTAGATATTAATTTATGCTAATTAGACGGGCACACACACACACACACACACACATACAACACGCAACACACACCGCATGCAACACATATACACGCACACAGGCACGCACATACACACCACTAACACCCGTACACACAAGCATACACACAATGAATATAAATAATAATTAAAATACACAATATTATTATTATTACTTAAATAATCAATGGCAGAATTGATATTAATAATAATAATGATGATGATGATGATGATGATAATAGTAACCAAGGCTTAGAGGCTTCGGCCTGGTCGGTCTGCAGCTTGCCACTGCCCTCCAGCTCCATGGTGCAGTAGACGATCTTATTGGCGGACAGTGACCTTAACCCTTTGACCTCCATTACCAAGACCTGGAGTTATGATGATGATGATGATGGTGATGATGAGGTGGCCATGATGATGACGATGATGAGATTGTCCTGATGATGATGATGATAATTATGTTGTTGCTGTGCGGAGTCGATGATGATAATGATGATGCTTGCGGAATGGTTACGTTTTTGTTATGTGTGTTGG